ACACCGACCCTTGAGGAACCCCGAAATCTAGTACTTTGTCATGTGAGGTGGCAGATCCGATGGCAACACACTGTCGTCGTTCACTCAGGTATGACTGTATCCAGCATAGTGCGGTATCAGTCACTCCATAAGAGTATTCCAGACGTTTATAAAGTATGCCATGGTCGATGACGTCAAATGCAGCTGACAAGTCCAGCATGACAAGCACCGCTCTGCACTTGTTATCCAATGCAGAAGCTATATCACTATGTACACGTAGGAGGGCTGTCTCAGTAGAGTGTCCCATGCGGTAGGCCGATTGCATGTTGTCAAGGAGACTGTTTGCATGGAGATGAACCTCTAAACGCCGGGACACAACCTTCTCCAAGATCTTAGACAGAATAGGCAGATTCATAGTGTTATACATTAGCAACACTTCATAGTTGTTTGATGCTGTGTGAACTACCTAAAGGGCTACACTATATTGCTATCTAACTGGAATGTTACATTATGGACACAGCGTCCATTTGAAATGGAAGTAGCCTAAGATCTTGTATACAGTTTTATCAAGCTAAAATGTCACACGATACAAAGAAAGTCTAGATTATTAAAGTTTGAAAAGATAAAAACAGCTTTTCCTAATAAGTTTTTTTCACCTTTTAGCCCATTGTCTCCCTTTCATTACCAACTTTGATCATATATATTTCATTGGTGGATGTTTACTTTCCAAGCCTTATGTAGAAGATCTTAGATTAATAGACTCCAGTGACAATTAAAGTCCTTGAAGTTACAGGTCTTGATATGACAGGAGGCATTATCAACAGTCTCTCCTCCCCGCAAGTTACAGGCCAATTATCATGACACAAGGCATCACAGTTCTGTAGAAATGTCATAAATTATTTAACTCTTTTGACCCCTGTGATCTTGAATTAGTAAAACTCAGTTTCTAAATAGGTTTGATGACCATGCCAAGGTCTTTTTGCAAGCAACAGTTAAGCCACGTCCATCAAAAAAGAATATTCTATGTAACACAAGCTGCAGTGCAGACACTTCGTAAACTGTTATTCAAAAATTAATTACCTGCCATGAATGCTATTTTAGTTAATATATGAAATTGTGTGGTAGATTCTTTAAAGACTTTGCATATTGAGGATTTTATAAAACATAATACACCTGTTGGTACCAAAGTGAAAGAACAGTAAAATTCAAAATCAAACAGAACAACCTTATACAGTCAAAGCCCCATTTAACCACTATGCATGTCTGTCTTTCTCCACTTCAGTGCAATATTTAACTCACATTCCAGAGATTGTGGATTTGGTTGTCGCAGCCACAGGTGATGGAGATTCTGCTGGCTTGTCTGCTCCCTCTTTCTCTTTTAATGCATCTTTTGCTTCTTTAGAATTAATGTCAAATTCTTTAGTCACTCTGAAATCAATAAAATAAAAATTTCACTTTCATTTTTGCATAGAAATTCAGATAAAATAAATGAAATACATTGTAAATTTTATTTCAAATTACATGAACTATTATGCATTTTATTTCAAAGCTTCATGAAATGTAAAAATGTTTTTCAAAACACAAAATACATGATATTACATTGTCATTGAATTTAGGTAAAAACCATCTTGCCATTACAAATTCCTTTTTTAATCTCATCCTATATCACTTTTATTAAAGCTTAAGAAGAAATAAAATACATGAGCATGTATAGATCAGATGATATTTGTTCAGGAATTTGAACAATTTCCATATTTAAACTTTCACATATGGGTAAAATGTGGTAATTTGTATAGAGAAACTTTTGAAGCATAATCAATAAATACAATACAGACTTTGCTGAAATAAAAAAAAACTATAACTAATACTTACTCCACAGCCTCTCCAGCAAAATCATACACTTTGGTGACTTTGACCTTCCCTGCTGGGTTAGCTGGAGCTGAAGTGGGTGTGGCTAACTTTGGTGAGGATGAGGTACATGGCTGAGAATAGAAACAAAAAAAGTTGAGGATTTCCTCTCTCTTACTACTAAGTATTAAGTAATATTACAGTGTACACAATTTTTTTATTGACGTCTCATGTTTGCCTGTTTTTGTCAGGGTGAATTCATCAGATTGTGAATGTTAGCACACAATTTACTGGATTTCCACCTAAATGGTGAAAGTAACACCGAGTGAATACAGATTAAAAAGGTTGAGGGTGAATGTTTTATGGAATCCTAGGGAACAACAAAAAGATAGTTTCATTAGGGAGAGTCCAATTGGAAAGGGGAGAGGAGTTTATCAATTTGTGAGAACTTGATGACGTTGATGTCCAGTTGTATTTGTGTAGTTATACATGTACCGGTATACCTCTCAACGTGTAACGGTCAATTGCATTCATAACGGTAAAAAGGTGATGTGTAGCAACTCAAAATCCATGTGTAACAATACGGTTACGCTAAAACAGCCTGGGGAAAACACTGGAGATAAGTTGTTGAATTAATATGATTCAACTTATAAATACTTAACTGGAAGATATATTACAAGGGTGATCTCATAAAAGTGTAAAATAAAATGTTTAAGAGCTGAAATTCCTATTGGATGATTACTTGCAGTGTTGAAATACTTGTTCAATAATGATGCAATGTATGTTTTAATGCAATCTAATTAAAATTATATCTTCACATCGCTCCCGTTTACCGATATGTCGCGTTGAAGATCTAACAACATCCCATAGAGGGTCACGTCAGAGGTCAACATGAATGCATTATCGTATTTATAACAAGCCAATCAAAACGCGACATAACTCTTTCTTTCAACCAATCAGAAAGCAGGACCTGTAGCATTTAATGCAGACACCTCGTAGCCCAAAATCCACTTTTTCGTCTGGTCCAGTGATAGTTTGAATATTGCGAAGCCTGTAATTGGTTAATTTTAGTTTCAGGTTGTTAAACTTTTTAACCAGAAGAGGAAGTCTCTCTTATTTCAAAGCAAAATCCACAAGTTGTACAAACGTTGTCTTGTAGATAGACACGGCGTGGTTTCATAGGCGCCGCCATTTTCGATGCTCATTTGACAACTCTCGGTCTTTATCATAGCAAGTGTGTTCCGAAATCATTACATCATCACTTACAGAAATGCGTAAGCTCTCATCTGATTGGTAAATTCAAAGGTCGCCTGAACATGACCCTCTACGGGATGTTGTTAGATCTTCAACACGACATATCAGTAAACGGGAGCGATGTGAAGATATAATTTTAATTAGATTTGTTTTAATGTGTATGTATATCATTTGTACTACAACAATGCAAAAAAAGTCAATAAATAATTATACTGTAAATAATGCTACATGCTATAGCTGGACTTGTAATGAGACTTGGATGTAAGTTTAATGGCTCATATGTGATAAATTAGTCTTCAGGAATTCAAAATTCATAAAACAAAGACACTGACAATGTAAACGTTTAATTTCTACAGATCTTACTGTAACAGTAAGATTGTGTACCGTAATGGACTTATTCAATGAATTTAAAAGGCCAATGTCCCTGCATGGTGTAATCTATGTCTACCTGAACGGACCTTAATTCATCTCTAATTGGTGTAATGAGCAAGTTCCAACACACCAAACTTTTACCTTTGAGAGACTGCCTAAAGCCCCTAATCCTGATGATGGAGCAGGTTTAGGTTTAGGCCGTCCACCAACATCAGACATGAAGCTGGCCCACAGATTGTCTGTTCGCTTCTTCTCTTGTTCTTCTTTCTTTGCTGATTTCTCTGTTTCTATTTGTTTTGTAAGCTCTTTTTTATGTTTGTCTTCTTCTGTTTCCTCTAACTTATCTGCATCGTTATCTAGCTTTATTCCACCTTTTCTTTTCCTTCAATGATAAAAAGTAATCTGTAAACCTGTGACTATTGAGTCACATTTAAGCTATGTTCTCTATGTAACATCATTACAGTGTTTTTGTCAATTTAAATTTTACAGCAGCCTGTACCAATAGGAATTAAGAAAATAAAGCAATATTTTTTATTGAAATTGCGATGATATTCCTCATTTTCCCCCTTTATTTTTGGAAAATAAAGTGCTTTTTAGCTAGGAAAAGCAGACTGTTTTTGATTGTAAAGCAAAGCAAAAACCAAATCACTGCAAAAATGTCTTCCATTTTAGTAATGATCACTACATGTACAACTGGCAACTCTGAGATTGAACTGTTTTTAAAGGGCTTGTGTTGACGATCAGCCTGTCACAATTACCAAATACTGATACCAGGGTATGGGTATATTCATACCAAGACCAAGTTGGTCAATCTTAAGCTAGCAAATCTTCTGAATAATTACCTAGCTGGAAGATCTGAAGTTTTCTTCTTGACGTTTTTCCGTTTGCCACGCCCTCCTTTTGCTTCAGTCTCATCTTGGTCTTCCTTTAGTACAGAAAGGTCCTCCTCATCACCGGAGTTCTCCTCCTCGCTCACCATCTCTCCATCTACAATAATTTGTCAACTTATTGTGCAAATTTCATATGGATATTTTATTTGTACATTTTGTATTTTAAGAGTATTTGCAATAAGATAAAACTTACTGAAATTAAACATACCCAAATTCCTAAACCTGCTTACATAAATTTCATTGAGAGTTTGGTTCTTGTGTAAGAAGATGTTTCAGGGGCTCGTGACCGTAGGATTGCGTCTACTCAACTGTAAATGAGTACGTGGCTGGGCAGCGCTAGAATTGTTTAATGCTAGCTGTGCATGTTAGCGCCTAATAATTTGTGAACAGCTTTGAGACGACCTACAAACTAGGTTGTGAAAAAGCGGTATACAAGATGTACAAGAACCTCAAAATATTATTTATTATTATTATTAAAGTTAAGAAAAAAAACAACAGAACAATAAGCCAATTCATGTATAATTTTATATTATCCATGTATAAAAACAGATTTCATTATCTAACTTGGCTTGTACGCTCAGCCATGTTAGCTTCATGAATGTATGAATGCTTGACAAGGAGATACCCCAACTTGGATTGTAAATAGTGTTGCTTTCTGTTGGAGTAAAGACTTAAAATAAGGGAGGCAGCCTCAATTGGTAGAGAGTCTGTCTGGTGTTTGGAAGGTCTCAGGTTTGAATCCTCGTCTGGCCATGCATTTTTCCTCTCTTGTTACGGTGCTTTACAACCCAGGTTCACACATCCCCTTGACAAGCATTCACCCAGTAAATGAAACAAGGGTTAACATTGGTCATTGGCAACACTGTAACAGGAGAATAGAAATACATGGCCAGACTGAGATTCAAACCAAAGACCCTCCCAACTCTAGATGGACGCTCTAGACCTACCTATTGAGCTACCTGGTCAAAAACGAACAAACCCATCCAGTTCCAATACATTCCTCCCTCTAGTCCTTTTTTTAAGTCTTCACTCCCAAAGACATCATCGTTTACAACCCAGGCTCAGTATGCCCTTGCCAAGTATACAACCAATGCTTGAAACAATGGTTGATCACAATCAGCTCTGTAATAGAAAAGGAAACAGAAATGCCAGACCTGGATTCAAACCGGGGACCTTCAGAAATCACTCTACCAGTTGAGCTACCTGGTCCCTAACAATCCATTCGGTCCATTTCAGCTACACTACTATTACCTTAGATTTTACTGGATAAAATAGGAATAAAAAGTCATCTGGAAAAAATATAATTTTAATGTATTTTTATATGCAACATTTCATCATTGTCTGCTTAAGAAATATGTGGTCTGGTTTATCTGGCTATTCTATACATTCCTTATATTTTTTTCTCTATAAATTTCATTAATACACACATGTGCCACGCCGCCGGTCATGAAAATTCAATTCATCACAACTCGGTCAATTTTTCAAATACCAAATTCAAATTTGGTATAGAGGTGTATTATAGTCATATTAACAACATATCTTCTGATGTCGCTTACTTATTCAATATTTTTAAAGACTTTGTTTGGCGACGCTTGTTGTCACGGTTGAAGACGCTTTTAAGGGTGACCGGGCTATTCTATAAATTCCTTATATTTTTTTCTATAAATTTCGTTCTTTATTCTTAGTATAAGCAGTTATATTCTATTCAAAACATTTTGTTGCAATTCAAAAGTGTAGCACATACAAACATCAAAATATTTTTGTAAACATTTTCTCCAGATACACTTCCTTCCTTTTTGGACCGCAGCAATTGCAATGTGTGCTTTAAATAGACAGGCACATAAACCAGTTACATAATGCTCTTATTCAATGACAACGAGAGGATTGAACAAGTTGTCATTGTATACAGTTTGGGCACAATGACGCATATGGGTAATAATCCTGCATTTGGGTAACAGTTATCGTTTTGAGTTACAATGTTATTTAATCTGAAATGGGGAATAAAGTGAAATCAAAATACAAAAACTTCTTTTAAACACTAGAAGCAATAATTCTGATGTCTAACTTTTTGTGAAAATGACAAATGTTAACTATATCACTGACTTTGTTCTCCATTGACTTCTGATGTCCTACATATTATTTTGATATTTTCATTTTTCTCGAACTGAAAATTGTTTCAATGTAGTACTTGTGCTTGGTTATTTGTCCTTGGCTTCAAAATTACATCGGTCGATACTGATAATTCTGTATATATATACCATTCCCTGTATTTTGCTGTTTGCGAAAGGATGAATCGACGCTGACAACATGTTGTGACTTGACTGTGACGTCACTGTTAACATGCGTCATCGTAGTGTTGACAATACTTACTGAAGTCAACCAGAATTTCTGCAGCTACTGTATATATACCACATATTCATATCCCTACAGTTTAGTGCACACTTTTGCTTTGTAGCTATCTTCAAGGCATGTTCACATAAAGGATATCTTTGTTGTGACGTTAGTGTAAGTATTTCATGCATTTACACTACTTTTAAAAAGTTCTTCTGAAGTAATTTTAAATAAAATTCTAAAAATTCTAAATATTCAAACACAACGATATTTTTTCTGCATTTTCCTCTCAGAATACTGTCATGTTTTTCCGTTACTTGATTTAAGACAAAATGATATTATTATAAAAAGGTGCTTTTTTGCTGCGCCATTTGCTTCTTTACTTCACCAAATTATTATGGAGAAAAATGTGCAGTAAATTCTCTTACAGTACATAGAAAATTGTGTTTATATCTTTTTGTTACGATGTATGTGATTACTATTGGCATCAGGATAATACTGAAAGAAAAACAGTGGAAATGATGCATGAAATAAACAGTAAGTTATACTTATGGATAGTATTTATACATGTAGTTTCAAGATGATCACCACACTTTAGCATATGGCATATTGGCTTTAATAAAAATGGGCCGAAATTGCCCCTGTCCTAATATGGGAATCCTGGTTCTCCCCATTTTAATTTAAGTAGTTTTAAGTCACAAATAAAGTCTTCTTAGTCTTCCATATCATTAAAATCAATTTTATAAAAAAAAAGTGTTTGTCTCGTTTTTAAGCGAGTGTGACAAACGGCAGCTGTAAAAAGCTGACTCCGCTCTCACATACTTTACATGAACCCTACGGGAATTAGGGCGAAACAACCCTTAGTGCGAACGGGATTTAGGGCGAAACAACCCGTTACCGTTAACGGTTCTGTAGGAAACGGTAATTTCAGGTGCATGTGCAGATGTGTGCGCGCTGTTTAGGTCTATATAGTTCATACGTATTATACGTAAGCCGAGACTTGATTACCATTAGGGACATAGTCTTCATCGTCGGAAGAACTGTAATCCTCGTCGTCAGACATTTTTTGTAAAGAGAGAATTTAAAAACTCTTCTGTAAAGCCTGCCTGCAGGTGCTTTTTAGAGGAGGAAGTTGAGTGATATACATTACAATTAAAAACAAGTCACGAAAAAGTCCGGAAATATTTTTCATTTAAAATATAAAGATATTCATGTTTGGATGATGTGTATAATAAGTAGTCAGACGAAGTAACAATTTACTATATAATTAAGAATTTAACTAGTTTAATTGATGTTTAACAGCAAGACACAAATGTATTGGTATTGTGACTAATTCCGGATAATGTCCACAGTCTTGTTTTGTCACAATAGTATTTCCGGTTTAAGAAAATTGATGTTGGTAGGAGAGGGTACACACGAAGCAATGACATTAACACGATCTTTAAACGTACATTCTACTAAGAGTTGTTGAAACATGAACTGCGTTTAAAAATGGCTGATGGAAATTTCGTTCGTATTGTCCAATTTATAAAAATTTACATTTTATCGTAAGCTGACAACTAGCTTCACATAAGAACAGGTAAACCATTCGTTTATCAGATCTCGTGTAATGTCAGTTTTTTGTAATTTTCAGAAGAAATCGTCATCTTCCAAGATATACATATTTCTTTAAATGGAATATTTCAGAGCAACAGAAATTATGACCCTTCTACTTCTAAATGGTACTGACCAACTTCAACAATTTGAAGATAAAATGTCAGACGAGGAGTGAAACATGGAAAGAGATTGTTTTTAAAAGATACGAGATGGTCTAATTTGCGTTTGAAAGGTGACGGTAGAGGGCAGATTTGAATAATTCCGTTGTGGGGCTCGAAATAATGTCAGGTGGGATTTTTTTTATTTTTTTTTTCGGGTATAGTTCGAGGGAAGAATGATGTCTTTCTGGTCTGGGTTTTTGAGTGGGGAATTTGATACGAAAACTGGTGGCTTGTTCGGGATTTTCTAACTGTAGGGATTAATTTGTCTGATTTTACGATAGCGACTTTCTAGTTTACAATGTTATGAAGCATGGTCAGACGAGCATCTCTATCTGCTAGAAGGCGCAGCTTTAGGTGGTCCAACATTTCTGACACACTGGAGGTACGATGGTTGTACCTGTGCTTATTGAGCACATAGCGCGCTGCCCTTCGCTGGACCATTTCCAACTTGTCAATATTTGTTTGGGTGTGAGGGTCCCATACTGTACAGGCATACTCAAGTGATGGTCGAACTAATGATTTGTATGCCTGTACTTTGGCTGATGTTGAGCCAATTTTAAGATTTCGTCTTAAAAAGCCTAGCGTAGAATTTGCTTTTGGGCAGATAGTATTTATATGTGAATCCCATTTAAGGTCAGATGATAGTGTTACACCCAGATACTTGGCCTGACTAAGATGTTCCAGTATGTGTCCATGTAAAGTATAATTATGGACTATTGGAGTTTTGTTTTTAGTCACCGACAACACATTGCATTTGTTTGGGTGGAAGATCATTTTCCATGTATTTTCCCAGAGCGCTAGTTTGTCAAGATCTTTTTGAAGTGTTTCAGCATCACTGTTTGACTTGATAACTAGATATGCAATAGTGTCGTCTGCAAATAAACGGATTGTAGCATTTAGACCAACAGGGATATCGTTTATAAAGTAAAGAAATAAACTGGGTCCCAAAACTGACCCCTGGGGTACCCCGGAATGGACATCGACAAAATCAGACTTCACCCTTCAACTACTACTGTCTGAGTTCTACCGGTCAGGAAACTCGAGATCCAGTTTGCGACATTAATGTAAATTGTGTGATTACCAGCTGGTACCATACCATGCATGTGTACGTGTTCCTAGTCAGACGCTCTACCACTAAGCTAAAGGGAAATTCCCTCTAGCTCAAAGCTAGAAGGCGATCCTAACCCTATGTACAACTGAACCCTGCCACACTACTCCTCCCTTTTTAATTGTGTTCGCCCTAGAACACCACAACCCAGGTGTAATAATATCCTTGGATGTGTCACCTTATACCTATACCTATCAAGGTTCTAACTCCCTGTCACCACAGAGAGGGCCACGGACACCATTTGTAACAGGAAAGAGAATAGTGTGCTTCCACCGGGGATCGAACCCTCGATCTCCAGGTTCCTAGTCGGATGCTCTACTACTGAGCTAAAGGGAAATTCCCTCTAGCTCGAAGCTTGAAGGCGACCTTTATCCTACATTTGTATGTACAATTGAACCCTGCCACACATGTGTAGCAGAGCTGAACTGGGTCGATCGTCGGCGACAACATAGCTCAATATTGGTAAAGCGTCCGTTCGGAGTTCAGAGGGTCCCTGGTTCGAACCCCGGTCTGGCCATGCATTTTTCCTCTCCTGTTACATTGGTGCCTGTGACCAACCCTGGTTTCAAGCATTTGGTGTACACTTGGCAAGGGGATACCCGAACCCAGGTTGCATAGAGTTGCATCTTCAGGGGCGAAGACTAAGAAAAAGAAGGGAGGAATGTAGCGGAACTGGACTGGGTCGATCATCAGCAACCAGCCCTGGTAGCTGAATTGGTAGAGCATCCATCTAGAGATGTGAGGGTCCCGGGTTTGAACCCAGGTGTGGTTGTGCATTTTCCTCTTCTTTTCTTGTTACACATATACATCTATATGTTGCTGAGCTAAACCAGATCATTTATTAGGAGTTTATGGTTTGCAACAAGAACGGGAAAAATTGCATCAAATATAAATGTGACTTAGATTTAAACCCAAACTGTAGACAGAAACTCTAAGTATCAACTATATAAAGCTACCAAGTCCACACTTCACTTATTCTGTAAAAAAAAAATCAGGATACCGGTAATACCAACATTTACAGCCCTGGTTAATATATCCCCCTTCGAAGAGCACAGGATGCTAGTAACAAGGCTGGGGTTAGTCATGACACAATAATTGGTCACAGGACAGCAGAAGTGCAACTGGCCATATCAGTTTTGAAGCCTTAACCCCCAAACTCTTAGACAGTCATTCAAAGGTTCTCTACTAATTGCACAAATAGGTTACTTGTTTTATACAAATCCACTTGAAGGTCTTAATTTCATGTCCCTGTCAGATTATTTTTTTCATATTCCACTTGTCATTTCATGATTACCAAACTCAGAGATGTACAATTCCACTAGATCAGTACCTAGGACTATTAAGTCTTAAGTAAAAGACATGAGTAATTAAATTACTATAGAAATAAAGGTTGGAACACTGGTATAAGATTTTTTTTCAAAAGATGGCTTTGGGAAAGGTCTTTGAATTTCATAAAAACTAATTAAACAATTAAGGGGAGTGCTGCCCATAAATATGTAGTTAATTTATTAAACATGTAATGTGTTCTGTCCTCTTGCAAACTAGACCTTGGATTAAATGAGTTTTGTCTTTGCTCATATACTGTATAGAATTATTTGTGTTATTGATTTTTTAGGTTTACCGAGACAATGGCGTCAGAAGGAGGTGACTTTAATGCGGACACAAGTCTGGACTCCATCATTAATGTGTTTGGACTTACATCCAGTGATACACTCAATGGATTTGCTGGTGAGTTTGTCTACAGCACAACCAAATTATTTGATTTATGTCTGATGCTATACATTTTGCCCAGTAATGAGTTTTTAAGTAACTTGATTAAGTGCCCTGTCCCTGCAGGTAGGGTGTCAGAATTGTACCTGCTGCCCCCATTGTATGATCATAAAAAGCAACTAAATTTGGGATCTTATCTTTTCTTTCCTTTCTACACAACTTTCTTCTTCCTAATGTCTCCCTTGACAATGCCTCACCTTTGGCCTTTAGTTGAGCGTTCGCCCCTGTGAGGAATGCTTTGGGTTCTGTCCCCTGGTCGAGACATACAAAAGTCTGAAAAAAATGTTAGTTTCTACTCCTGCTTAACGCTCAGCAATTTAGGAGTGGGACGACTGGTTCGCCCGTTGTCAGTATAATGTGACTGGGTGGAGTGTCCTGCTGGGTGTCTTTGGCAGTATGTTTCAGTGAGGTAGCACTATAAAGTTGGCATCACTTCCGCTTTATCACAAGGAGACAAACACGAACATATCGCAGCCTCCCAAAACACACACACATACACTACACACATGCATCTTGCACACAGGGGAAGCTGCCTTTAATGACCATAGCTGTTGATAGGACGTTTAACAATACTAAACCAAACCAAACCCTGTGTTGTGTTCTCTGCCAACCCTTCAGGGATCTCTATTTACTGCATTATTAACATTTAGCATATTTTCAGATTCACACATAATTTCCTGTGAATTATAATAGCAATAAATATCTTATTACTAATTACTCATAGTAATGGTTTGCCAATTTGGTTACCAGTTGGATAGGTTTGAATAGGTACAAGATTAATTTCAAAGAATGCAAATATGAGAATCCAAATGAAAAAAGTTTCTATCTAGAAAGAGTCATCAGTGATTTATAAGGATAATTTCTGGTGAGTATTTAACATAATTTTCAAAAGTTGATGTGTCCCATTACAAAATGTACTATAACATCGCGGGTTCCCAAAGTGTGAGTGAACATGATTGCCACAGGAAACGCACAAGTCAAAAATTCAAATGTCTAATTCTTTGTCCCTGGGGTCTGATTTTATTTTACATGCATGTGTATTGAGAAAAATGTAGTCTTAATTTTGTTACAGAAATGTGGTACCAGGTTTTCTTATGGGCTCTCTTCTCCTCCATTTTTGCCCATGTGGTGGCAGCTTTGATTGCATTCTGTCGTCTACGGAAACACCGATATGGGCGCTGGATATCTGCTGTTGTTCTAGGCATGGGCATTATCTCCCCTCTCACCGGTGGTGTGATAACAAGTAGGTTCTTTAATTTTAGCAGCAAAAAAAATCATTAGACTTAATGTGATAAACAATGTTATAGCTCATCCAGGGTGACATGTGGGTCTACATTTCTGAAATGGACATATTTTCAATGAACGTTGTTTTGCAAAATAAACAGAATTTGACACTTATGATGACCTCTATACAGTATACATATTGATTTGAATGATAGGACTTAGACCTAAAGGGCCTAATGATATAGGTATAGTGTAGTTATACTTACTGAGAAAAACCAAATTCTAAAAAGTGATATGTGTACTGTGTGATGTTTTATTCAAGTGTGCCCCATGAATTTGCTCAAGTAAATCAAAAGGCCATCAAGTCACAATACGGAACACACAAATGAAGCAAAATTAAGTGTATTTACTATGGAAATCTTCTACAACCCAGAACCACGATTAACATAGCACTGTTACATATTACTGTACTTAACATCGATATAGTTCATTGTATGGAAGGTAAACCATAGCTCTTGTGTCATACTGAGACCCAGTTCTGAACTTCAGTTTGTGGTAATGATGCATTCCAGGATTGTAGATTTATATTAGTAAAAATCAGGTCACTCACAGAAGCCATAAGATATATATAAAGATTAATTTGAATAATACATGTAGGTGTGGAGCTGATTGTCATGCCATCACAATAAATAGGTAGACATGTCATCATTGTTTATTGGTTAACATTGTTTTGTTGTAGGTGCAGCCATTGCTGGGTTTTACCGAGGTTCAGATTTCGTAATGAAGCCATTTTATGCATTATGTTGGGGAGCTGCACAGACTATGTTTGTGATTTTTGTGTCATTTACAAGAATTCTATCGACTTTGTGATTCTTGTGGATAATGAAGAATGATTCTAATTGGGGAAATTACAATAAGAGATATATGTATACGCATAAATATACTGATACATATATGAATTTGAGCGAACATTATTCATTAATGTTGGTAATTTATAATTAAAACATATCAATAGACATTGTTAATTGTGAGCTCTTTTAAACAAATACTAACACCATACATATGAGTGATCATGCCTCGTGACCTATAGCATGAAGGTATATTGTACTTTTGTATGCACAACCTGAATGAACATGTTGTCCAAATGAAGCTATAGAGTTTGTCCATGTACCCAACTCATATTATATGATAAAGCTGAAAACTAGTAAGCAATGTTTTATGATTTATTGATAAAAAAATAACCCAACTCTTGTCTGGGCAAGACAAGTACACAGATCAATAATGTGACCTATATTCTCTCTCCTGTGACAAATCAAAGTTCCAATAAGTGTGAAAATCTTCATTAAGTATAAGATGTATGTATTTCACCTCTGAGTCAGGACTGAGGAAACCTACAGTGGATGTTGCAGTGATATCTGCTCCCACAATGTATTATGTATTAGTGTATAGCAGTTATAGGCATTTTATTACCTTCTACTCTTTTATTGGTAATGCTTCCGCAACGGATAATTGACCATTAACATAAACAATATCAAGGCATCTGTGCTGTATATGATTTATTCATAGACACTGTGCTGTTAATGAGTACAATTTGATATATATTGGTGAATATAAAATAATAACACTAGCTACATAAACACAATGGCACAGACTTTCAGTTCACAGCATACAACTGAACATTAATATGAAAAATGTATCGTTAAAGATATACACATGTACTTTATACATGTATTCCCATCATTTAGAAAAATGATTGCTCCCCCTAAATCTCTATACTAATCCTTACTGGTATCCATACACCTCTTATTGTAAGCACCCCTATTAAATGGCATTGTATTGCACAAACAGCAATAACTGAAAAGAGTGCATGTGCCATGTTTGTGTAAGAAACGATAATATTGTCAGAAGAAACATCCTTCCCATTTTTATTTATTTTTTGTCAAAGAAATGTCATTCAGATCAAGTTATGAGTCCAAGACGTGTCACATTTAATTTTCTTATTCACAGTCATACTGCAATGAGCAATGTTCCAGTTGATAAGAAGGTTACTGAGACAGGGGTTTGAGTTGCTTCTTATACTGTATCAGGGTGGTCTTTAAGTTGTCACTTTCAGTCAACAAATCGTTTATATATTGTTTTTTTGTTGTTGTACCCAGTACCGGTATCTGCAAATCAACAACATTTTCTGTAATGTGAAAGTTGAGCTAGTTTTAAGTACTCAAATAATTTTGAAGACTATATGCCTTATCCCTCTCATCACTTACTCAATGGGAACAGAAACAGATTTAGCGAAATTGATATCCAGGTTAAAATTTATATATGTATTAATTATAAGGTGACTGTGATGGTGCACCGATTGTTAACACGAGGCAAGTATGAGGTCTACATGTATATGTTAGTCAAATAGGATGTAGATGGAATACATATGAACTACCAGTATAATATTGACTATTAATTTTGTTTACAAAATGTCAAGGTTTTTATTTAAAGCAGAAAGTGTCGGATACGTTAAGTTTACTAAATCTTTTTAAACAAGCAAAACTATAAGGGAGGTTAAGTTCTCCATTATTATGATTTTTTTCATAATATGTCATCCTGCTTTATTTTAAAGTTGATTTTCAGTGCCGGTTTTGTTATGAATATTGTTGAGGTAATTTGTTCAGACTTGTATACTGCAGCTGCCACATCATTTTTACCCATGGATATCATATACATAATTATCATCAACAGTATACATTTATTTGAAGGATTTTTTCGGCATATTTCACCAAAACCAATGTCAAAAAAGAGGCTTATCAGATAAACATTTGTGTACGCTAACATAGCTGCAAATGCAAGTTTCCTTGTCTTCATATCTAATTGTTTTAGTTTTGTTATATTTTATTTTGTTGAATAAAAGATGTCTTCATTACAATTTATTTAAGTGTGATTGTGAACTGGGAATTCTTTTACTTTCTTGCCGGGGACAGATGTCACTTTCCAAGCAGAAGCAGCATCAGTGTGTGTTATTTGTAGTATCGCAAAAAGTTCAAGTCCTGGACCTACTAAACTTACACGATAAATACATTCTGGGCCTCTTATTTCAAGCATCAGCTGTTGTTTGTGATCCTAGTATTTATGCTTCAGTGTGATGATACATGTATTTGGTCAGTATTATGCTAGAGTGAAAGGCTACACAATGTGTTCAACTGAATGACTTTGACCCACTTTCAAGGTCACTGGGGTCAAAAGTGGTAAAACCATGAAAAAACTTCATCATAATCAGACCCAGGGTAATGATATCAGGCAAGAAGCACGCAAGGAGGAAAGACTTAAGTTTGATAACATGAATGACCTTGACCCACTTTCAAGGTCGTAGGGGTCAAATGTCAAATGGTTTATGGGTTTGGTTTCAACTAAATGTCTTATTAACAGCTAAGGTATTTTAAACCGTCTCCATGTGTGTATTATATTCGTGCATGTGGAGGCGGTATGTGGGTGTACATGTATTAACTTCAGACTTAAGGGAGGACCACCTCGCTGAAATACCATGCCAAAGACATCAAGCAAAGCAATCTACCCAGTGGCATTATACTGACAACAGGTTAACCAGTAGCTGACATTACGGTATACACTAGATTTAGCAATGAATAAAATCTACTGTTAAGGACTTTTGTATGTCCCGGCCTGGGAACAGGACCAATTGCATCCGCCATCTTTGAGGAACATTAACACTAAAAGCCAAAAGTCAGGTGTTACCAAGCAAGGTGATAGGAAACAAAAAAGATTGTTAAGGATGTACTATTCTGAGGTTTAAATAACGTTTATGTCTCGTTTTGATCTTGTGTAAGGGGTTTCTATGAAATAAAACAAATTGCAGTCTATGATCAATTTTAAAAGCAAATATGCATCTGAAAATTGTGTCAAAAACTAGATCAATGTTGTTTGCAGAACTGTTTTTCACAAGAATTGTAAAAAGACAAAATTGGTGACCATTTTGAAAATGATTATTTCTTGCTCTTTCGACTCTAGATTAATTACTAAATTTGTGATAGTTTATATGGCTTAATATAATGAAAATAGTATGCAACAAAGTAGAAAATTCTACATTATCTGTAGATTTTTATGTATTTAGTGGAATTGGAGGTCTTTTTATTTTTGACCCCTTAAAAGGTGGAAAATAACACAAAACATAGCGATTTGACCAAAAAAAGAAGTACAAGGCCCCCACATTTTTTGGGCTGCTTTAAAAAGAGAAACACATTTTGTTTTGAATTATGGAATGTTAAAAAAAGTTTAATAGCAAAACTTTCTCATATTAATCGTTAAATCTACGGAAAATGGTGTTTTTCTTTTAAAAAAGAGTAGGGGGGACCTAAATCACTTTTCTGAGACAAAGAATAAGTTAAAGAAATTTTGCCTCCAATATTAAGGAAAGAACACTATTTATATCAATTATGCAAACGTTCATTCATTTCTTATAATACACCTGTAAGATATTGTATGAATTTGTGCAGCACACGGTCAAAACTGGGGGAAGAAATCCCAAAAATAACTTATTTTGATAAATTGGTATCTTTGACCGATCACAGCACAAAAACTAACACACGGTCATATAATCTTTTATTTTTCTGCTAAGCCATTTACTCTCTTTTCCAAAAATGCATGTAAGAAAAAAGTTCATAACGAGAAAGTTTTAACTTCACCGAGGAGTACATCCTTAAGACGAAGAGAGAAAGTGTACAGATCCCGAATGTTGCAAAGGCTGCAACAGATTGAGTTTCTTTACTTTTATCTCCCCAAAGGTAGTTCCCACATTAGTAGCCTCTTAAACCATGCAGGAGGTATACTTTTCTCAGGCCCCGACATGCGGACGTGAATAGAAGTACGATTGTCCTATTTGGCCTGTAACATGGTGGGATAAATGATCTTGTCCTACTTTTAAGGTTACAGTGATGAAATGTTAATATTTTTAAACAATTTCTTCGGAATAAGTATACGATGTTTGGTCTGTACATAGGCACTTGACGCTTTGTTATGTCAGATTAAAAAAAAATATAAAAAAATATATATAAGTATACATTTTTTTTTTCAAAATTATTATCTGAGAATTATCTGAATAAAAAAAAAGAAATGACATTTTTTTTTTAATGTACATGCATTCGAACCAATTCATGTATACTTACATAATGTTTTTTTTAATCTGACATAACAAAGCGTCAAGTGCCTATGGTCTGTAGTTTGTTGGCATGAAGGGCTGCCAGTTAACTTCCGGTGCAAGCGTCCGTCTGTCATTTTCGGTTCGGTCTTGTTCTTTCATGAATACTTGTTATAGATCCTTTGCTCTTTCATCACCGTTAAGAATGTTAATCTATAGGTACAAAAGGTACCATTTACGTTCTCTCTACTCTCCTGCAATCTGGTTCATCTTGTGAAAGAAACAATGACGATCGTGTCCCGCCTGGGCAATACTTGTTTCTGCTGTTTGTATCCAGCCAATATTGATCAATACACGCGTATTTGCATATAACTTAAACCACTTCATTTTGGTTGACACACGTCTTGAAACCGTGTTTTTGATTAAACTCATCCATATATATCTGTTTTGTCTGAACACATTATGTGTATGTTTTCTTCTGAAGTTTTTTTTTATACAACACAGTTTTCATATCGATATTACATTGTTCATTATGCTACAATGGGTTTACTTAAAGTTTGCTGAAGTAAACCCGGGTTTCCAATCCTCCGCCCCAGATATATTTGTTGTGTATGATCCCCATACATATCTTACAATGTTTGAAAAAATGTTGATCGTTACAGTATTGCTGTGTTATTAATGTTAACCCAATATTTGTAATTTAACATTTTTTTTAGAAATCAGTTCATGACAGAAACGAATGTTTTTATTTCGCTCTTTACAGAAATATACTTGCATTGTTTGGACTGGTATATCAGCCTGGCTGCGACTTTTGTTTGACTTTGTCGATATTTAGGGTTCAAATGAACATATCAATACCCAAACTTATCTATGTAAGTAAACAAAATTCTGGACTTGGCTGGCGTCAAATCAATAACTTAAATGCCAAAAACCGTTATTTTCAGCGTACAGGTATTCAATGTACACCCTCTATGTACACTTGATACCCTCGTATTAGACGTAAATGGACATATAATGTTGTGTAACGCATTAGTAATTCTTCCACTGAATACACGTGTATTATTGATGACTTGTTATCATTTCATTGCCCTTTTGAATATAATGAAACGTGAGAAATGTTGTCGAACAGTTACAACCTACTTAATGATTCTAAACCAGACAGCCCGTCGTGGGGAACGCTAACAATGTCCGCAACTATCCCGATGAAGTCTGTGTGTACACAGGGACCTGATAATTTGTTACAGCTATATTTGGACCTAAACTAAGGTATTCAGAGTAATTTTACCTGTTTAAACCTAAGCCTAAAACATGTAAAATTACTCTGTACACCTTAGTTTAGGTGGCCTAAATCGTGTAAAATTACTCTGAACACCTTAGTTTAGGTGGCCTAAATCATGTAAAATTACTCTGAACACCTTGTTTAGGTGGCCTAAATCATGTAAAAATACTCTGACACCTTAATTTAGGTTCAAATATAGCTGTAACAAATTATCAGGTCCCTGTGGGTGTGTATTGATCACAGGGACATCATTGTCAAAAAAAGGATTTAGTTTGGAGTAGAGAATGTTATTAGCCGTTTTAAGAAGGTATGGTGGTAACGTGACTGTACCCAAATCGGGACGGTACCCAAAACGGGACACTTGGGGAAAACGACCCAATAAACTGTCATGCAATGCAAAGACGTTCTTTTATGTAGACAGTTTTCATTTGAAAATACTTTCATGACAATTTAAGTGTTATATCGTTAGATGGGTAATTTAAACTGAGGTAAGAATTATTACCAAAACAAGACTTTCCTGATTTACGTGCCGTGCGATACTATTTATAGAACACAATTTTATCAGAACCCTCTTTGATTCTAAAATATTTGAACTATACATACTTTTCTCCTTATATTGATAGCTTATCCCCAAATATTAACAAAACACCGAATTGTGTCCCTTTCAGTACAGTTACGCCGGTTCAAGGGCCTACGTAACCCTGATAATATTTCGCGTTCTATTTTAAGAACCACGCGCCCGAAATTCTAACTTGTAATACAAATGAAAAGTGTATAGTATCTATTTATGAAAATTGAACAAACAATTTTGCAACTGATAGTATGGTATAAAGAATATGACATTTATCTAAAGTGTGTCCCGATTTGGGTACAGTGATGTTAGCGATGTGCTGTTTGTGTGCGGATTAGGGGGGGGGGGGGGCGATCTTCAACATAATTTCATCAAGTATGCTTTTCTAGACGTTTCCGCCGTATACACTACCATATCCCGTGCCAAACAGAAGGAACGCCTTTGTTCTTTTTCAGCTCAATTGGCCCTTCTTTCAGCTCACCTGTCCCGAAGGGCCAAGTGAGCTTATGCCATGGTGCTACGTCCGGCCGTTCCTCCGTCCATCCAGCGTCAACGTTTTACTTTTAACAACTTCTCCTGAATAACTAAGAGCCATAGGGTGATGATATTTTCCCAGTAGCATACTGGGATGAATGGCTAACAAGTTTTTCAAATGAATGACCTTCGCCCATATTCAAGGTCAGTGAGGTGAAATATGTTAAAACTTAATCTTTTGAATATTGGCCTGTAGATTGCTGGAATGAAGGGCTACCAAATGCAAGTTAAGCAAATGAATGACCTTCATTGAAGGTCACATGGTTCAATTGTCTAAAATAACCCCGATGATACATTTAGTGTCATAATGATGATGGTGATTTCAGTAACATGATGACAATATCAGTGTGAGGATGATGATGATAATGATATTAAACAAGAGGTCCATAGGGC